GAAATTAGTTGTGTGAGCATGATCTCATATGTGAACCATTTTGGCTGTTGACCAGTGGACAACCTCACCCCGCCAGGACTCGAACCCACGATCTTATATGTGTGACTGGGGAACGTTAGATCTTACACCACTAGGACACTAAGAGCAATCCTAGACTTTGTTAAATATATATATATATATATATATATATATATATATATATATATATATATATATATATATATATATATATATATATATATATATATATATATCACATACTTATTAAGACACTTTTTTAAAATAGTAACCAATGTAATACCAAAACATTTTTTATGATGGCCCAGTCTTCATAGATGCACCGGTGCTTCAATCGGAAGCCACAAAGAAAATAATAGGTTTTAAGGGGAGTTCAATTTCCTTCCCCTAATGAATATTCCTTGATGGAAACTTGAGCATTGCACAGTATCTATTCCTTACTGTACCAGTCACCTGTTACGACCCTCCTCCTTCACCGCTTACCCAGCTTTCACCACTGGTTACCAGCGGCCAGGGTCGTATGTATAGAAGCAGTGGATACCTCACAAGTGTTGTCGAATTACCACTGGCTGTCCCGCCAGTCCCCGGTAATTTCCCGACGATTGGTATCTGTGTACTGACAAACAACAGCCAGGTAGATTTCCACCAGGTCACAGAAACACACTTGTGCAGTGTAGTCTTCTTTAATAAACACTGATTCTTCACAACACTGTTAACAGGGTAATGGGTTCACAGCTGGACTTCTCACTTCCAATATATACTGTACTGTAGTCGGCACACTACCAATGTATAATTCCTTAGTCTTTTCACTTTATATTGTTCACAACAATTTCACAATAATTGCACAACAATTATCTTCAGTTCTACTCCTAGCCTGCTCGTGGGTGCTCATATCCCTCGTCAGACGCCCCTCGAACATCCTAGCACCACCCAGAGACTCCTGAGAGATTCTAGAACGTTCTACTCTGATCGGAGCTTACAATAAAAAGTAAAAAAAAAAAAAGATGCAATACATTCTAGAATATTCTTAAAAAATAATACACCAATATATACACGAAAATTTCACTAAATTTGTCAAAGTAGCTGCTCCATGGGGCAAAAAACAATCAAAACACCTAATTTACAAAATTATAATACGAAATTATACCTCGGCATAACACAACGTTGCATCAGAAGTCTGTACCTTTTGTCTGAAACCGATAAAAGAACTATTAAGATCCATTATCACACAGGAAAAGATGACAGGACTGGTACAGATTTCAAGTGAACACGCATTTGCGTTCTCTGAATGATAACATTATCTCAACCCCTTGAGGTCACAGCCTCAGATTGAAGCAGCGAACGTTTTTTTTTTTTAGTGAGTTGTGAACTCTTGGAGTGTTATGATGGCAACGACTGTGAACTCATTTAGACCAGACTTGACCAGCACTGCGCAGGTATAGATACATTCCGGAGCCAGTACATGCCCAGTACTTGCTAACAGTAACAGAAATGTGACCAACCGCCCAAGAACTAACAGGTCGATCAGTAGCGAAGAGGATAAAATACATTCCAGTTATCCTCTTTGTCCTTGGTCAGCTAACTAGTCGATGTAGGGAGATCCTCTTTCTTATCTCACAATTTTGAAGGCAAAACTACGAACTTTGAGAATCATGACCGTAGGACAGGAAAGATTCCTTAATGGGATAACCAACACGAATGATTAACGAAGACGATGTTGCAAACGCCCACACAAGCAAATACAAACATACAATAAAAAAATAAAAAAACAGGCTAACACAGCAAGACACACATTATGTACGACAATACGAATATAAGAAATACACGAAACTGAAGCAAGCCTTATTAGTCCAAGCAAGGCAGCTCCTGCTTGTGCCTAACCACTATCACCCCTGCGTCGGGAGACTTGACTACCGTTTCTGACAATTTGACTCCGGAATTCAATATAAATAAAGTAATTGGAAATGTAGTACGCTAGAGTCAGAAGTCTCATAATATTTAGTAATTTATATGTTTTCAAATGAGTGAGATCATGTAAGTTTTCATCAGTTACAAAGAAGATGAGGTGACTTTGGGAAAATAAAACATATTTAATTGTCTATTTTATTTTAAGGAACATTTATATCTTCAACATCTTATTAAATAAAGTAAAATAGTGATCTTGGCGAGTATAGTTAGTACTGTATTTAGAGATAGTTTATAGAAGGGTGTTGAGCGCGATAACGATTTAAAGGTAAAAATGAATGTTAGCAGTTGAAAAAAAGTACAAGAATATTTTTTGTTAATTCTCCATTATTGTCGCCGTACTGCACCTCCCGGAAACGTCTCCGTGGTCGTGCCGTGATGGTGACAGTGTTGGTCGCTCAAGTTGTGTTGGTCATTGTAACATAAGTGGAGGTCGCCTTTGTTGCCATATTTGCCCACTGTGTACGGTTCTACCCAAGATAGGGTGGGCGGTAGTAGGCGTTGAATCCATTTCCGTAATACTGACTGTAACCATACCCGCCGTAGCTGCCATAGTTGCCATTATCACCACTATTGCTTTGGCTTCCGTAGATGCCAGGTCTTCCGTAAGTCTCAGATCCTCCATAAGTGCCAGGTTGGCCGTACATGCCAGGTCCTCCGTAATTGCCATGACCTCCGTAATTGCCATGACCTCCATAATCGCCATGACTTCCATAATTGCCATAATGCCCGTAACCGCCGCCGTAACCTCCGTGGTTTCCATACTTGTCGTTCTTGTCGAAAGGATTGAAAAGTCCGGAGATGGCTCCTTGCGCGGAGCCCAGCAGGTCAAGGAGGAAGAACCTCCGGCTGGCGGCAGTGCTGTGGGACTGCTGGGGGTAGGGAGTTCCGAGTCCTGCCACATTCAACAACACCGCCACTAGAGTCGTCAGATTCATCTGCGAGGGAACACCACATATGTTTCCATATTTTATATCCATGGCTATATACTGAGTTACATGTCAAAACTAAGGGAGGTTACCTGAGCTAAATTGGGTTTGGGTAAGTTACTGTTGGATTAAAAAATCAGACACAACTATAATTGGATTTCTAAAAAAAGTAAAACTGCATTTACACCAGTAACGAGCAGTCATGCTTATGGGACCTAGTTTCAATTTTCGCAAAATTAGCTAGGGTAAGGTGCTGCTAGTGCTATGTGTGCAGTCATCTACTACAGTCCGTTCGCCTCTCACCCTGAACCACTAACCCCGAGATGAAGACTAGTGAACCCAAAGCAGTAGACTGATATATTATTATATCCATAAATGCTTTGGATGCATGAGTCTGAATCTCACGGTTCGTGGTTGAGGGGAAGAGGCGAACCGACTTTAGTAGTTGACTGTGCATAAATAGGTTCAGTAGGCTTAGATAGAGCTTTGTTGAAAACCTATAGGTGAGGGCACCACCTTTCATCACATTAAAATTCCCTTTCCTGATACCTTACAAAACACCCCATTCTGGATTTGTAATTATAGTAGCATCAGAACCATACAATTACCTTTTCTAAGATCTGTTGTGTCAGTGAGAGAGTCGGGCAGAAGTGATGGCAAACCAAGGGTTGTCCCACTTTATATAACACCAAGACCCAAATAAAAGGGTTGCCGATTAGTCAATTCCAGGAGCAAATTTCACCACATTAATTTTTACTGTACGTATATCATAAGCACCAGGAATGATTAACGTCCAGACATATTTAACGTGCTCTGGAAGTACGTGCTTCCTCTGATCTGTCTCACACAAAAACTGGGAAAGAAGGAGATTTAACAAGATAGACAGTAAGACAGTAACAGGAATATCTGGGGAGATAGGGCGGTGCCGAAGTTATCACCATCAAGGTTACCAAATTGATTTAGTCTCGCCATTTCCTGGGTCATGCTAACCCCGCCTTTCTTTCTTCACGGTATATCGCATGAATAATAACCCGCATGAGAGTTTGATCCGTCTGTCTTTCGGTCCGTGACAAATTTGGTTTCCACTTAATAACTTCCTAAAGACTCAAGGGAATGATTTTGATAGATTTAGTTGTTAGCTTGTGTATGTTACTGCATCTTGGAGTTGTAGATGTTGTCAAGGGAAAAGTATTATTACAGTTTCTTACTTTTCAGTGACGGATGGGTTGAAATAACAAACAGTTATAACCATTTTCTCTTAGGGTACTGATGAAGTGAATGAGCACCTCTGGTACACATGGAGTGGAGGGGGGATAGGTGGGAGGGTGGCTCTCTGGTGCACATGGAGTGGAGGGGGCGGGGTGGGTGGCTCTCTGGTACACATGGAGTGGGGGAGTGGAGGGACACATGGTGGGTGGGGTGGCTGGCTCTCTGGCGGGGTGGGTGGCTGGCTCTCTGGTACACATGGTGGGTGGCTGGCTCTCTGGTACACATGGAGTGGAGGGGGGCCAGGATGGGTGGCTGGCTCTCTGATATACATGGAGTGGAGGTGACGGGATGGGTGGGTGGCTCTCTGGTACACATGGAGAGGAGGGGACGGGGTAGGTAGCTGGCTCTCTGATACACATGGAGTGGAGGGTGGCCACTGGCCAGGGTGGGTGGCTGGCTCTCTGGTACACATGAAGTGGAGGGGACGGGGTGGGTGACTGGGGTCCAATGCCACACTGGGCGGCACCCCTTTGAACTATCATTAAAGCCAGTGTGTCGAAAACTGTTAAAGCATGAGACTTGGAGGCCAGCGCTCCTCCCTCCCGCTGTTCCCATAACCCCTTTGAAACTCCTGACATTGATGTAACCTCCATGACTCCTTCCCTTAACAAACATGGCGTGACGTGATCCAAATATGCTTCCCAGTTGGGCACTGTAAACGCTTCTGCGCTTCACCTTGCACAGGATGTAAGGGGGTGCCCAATAAACTAGCTGGTGAACACACAGTATCAGTTGGTGAACACACAGTATCCACTGGATGAACACACAGTATCCACTGGTGAACACACAGTATCCGCTGGTGAACACAGTATCCCATGAACACACAGTATCCACTGGTGAACACACAGTATTCGCTGGTGAACACAGTATCCGCTTGTGAACACAGTATCCGCTGGTTAACACACAGTAACCGCTGGTGAACACACAGTATCTACTGGTGAACACAGTATCCGCTGGTGAACACAGTATCTCCCCTGTTGAACACACAGTATCTACTGGTGAACACACAGTATTCGCTGGTTAACACACAGTATCCGCTGGTGAACACAGTATCCGCTGGTTAACACAGTATCCGCTGGTGAACACACAATATCTACTGGAAAACACACAGAATCCGATAGTGAACACAGTATCCCCTGGTGAATACACAGTATCCACTGGTGAACACACAGTATCCACTGGTGAACACAGTATCCGATGGTGAATACACGGTATCTCCCCTGTTGAACACACAGTTTCCGCTGGTGAACACAGTATTCGATAGTGATCACAGCATCCGCTTGTGAACACAGTATCCACTGGTTAACACACAGTATCCGCTGGTGAACACACAGTATCTACTGGTGAACACAGTATCCGCTGGTGAACACACAGTATCCACTGGTGAACACACAGTATCCTCTGGTGAACACAGTATCCTGGTTAACACACAGTATCCGCTGGTGAACACAGTATCCGCTTGTGAACACAGTATCCGCTTGTGAACACAGTATCCGCTGGTTAACACACAGTATCCGCTGGTGAACACACAGTATCTACTGGTGAACACAGCATCCGCTGGTGAACACACAGTATCTACTGGTGAACACACAGTATCCGCTGGTGAACACAGTATCCGCTGGTGAGCATACAGTATCCGCTGGTGAACACACAGTATCCGCTGGTGAACACACAGTATCCGCCGGTGAACACAGTATCCGATAGTGAGCACACAGTATCCGCTGGTGAGCACACAGTATCCGCTGGCATGAACACAGTATCCGCTGGTGAGCATACAGTATCCGCTGGTGAACACACAGTATCCGCCGGTGAACACAGTATCCGATAGTGAGCACACAGTATCCGCTGGTGAGCACACAGTATCCGCAGGTGAACACAGTATCCGCTGGTGAGCACACAGTATCCGCTGGTGAACACACAGTATCTGCTGGTGAACACACTGTATCCACTGGTGAACACACGGTATCTGCTGGTGAACACACAGTATCCGCTGGTGAACACAGTATCTCATGAACACACAGTATCCACTGGTGAACACACAGTATCCGCTTGTGAACACAGTATCCGCTGGTTAACACACAGTATCCGCTGGTGAACACACAGTATCTACTGGTGAACACAGTATCAGCTGGTGTACACAGTATCTCCCCTGTTGAACACACAGTATCCGCTGGTGAACACACAGTATCCGCTGGTGAACACAGTATCCACTGGCCACGAAATAAACAGAAGTGTGTGTGTGTGTGTGTGTGTGTGAGGAGAGTGAGTGTCCCAGAGCCCGGACACCCAGCAGGCACTAACTCCAACTAGTTGCTGGCCAGCACTGGAGGGGGAAGGTGCTGTCTCGCGCTCTCCCCTCACTTTACTGCACCCTCGCCTCGCCTCTGTTTCTCTTCCCTCAAAGGCTGGCTTTCGTTCTATCTATCGCGTTAATAGACTCTACTAAATCATTACAACTTCCTTCATATACAGTAAATTTGAACAAGTGTGGTATAAGGGATAAAGGATAAGGTAAGAAGATAGTGAGGTGAAACATGAGTGATGGTGAGGTAACACATTCTTAAAGAGGGTATGCTGGCAGCGGTCCTCACAGTTGGTCCACTCAAACCAGCTGCTCCATTCACCTTTTACTTCGCCAGTGACACGCTGTGTGCCTCACTGCCCTGGGGTGTAATGTATCTCAGACTGGACACTGGCGCCACACATGTATAAAGCCACGTTCATTTTTTGCCACAGCTAAGAGAAAGTTAGCTTTACATAACTGAAGGAATTGTGTGTTATCGTATCAAGATAAAGATAAATTTGCGGAAGGTCAGACCTTTTTCCCCCCTTAACTCTGAAGCTGTGAGATACTGTAAAATTCTTTGTCATCGCGGGACACCGGAAGGCAGCTGTAGCGCCACGGTTGGTGGACACCTGTATTACCTGATGGACACCTGTGTTGCCTGATGGACACCTGTGCTACCTGCAAAATCTTGGTGACCTACGCCAACGTCGATAATTATCTTTACATATAGCAACACCAAACTCCTCTATTAGACGGATCTCGCCGGGTAGAGGCGCTCCAGTAGAGCTTCCAGCAATAAACAAGGACCAATCCTGAACATTATAGACCACTACAGGCCATCAGAGAACAGTACAGATTTTTAGAGATATAATTGGGGTATCAGGACATACCACAGACCATCAGAAACTACTTCAAATTAGCAGAGCTCACGAGGGAGCACCAGAGCAAGGCCGAGCCAGCCTACGGTTTAAGCATCAGATGCGAGCTGGTGGGCGGAGCTGAGGAATAATTGAGAGGTGCAACAGCAGCGCCACCATGGAGACCAGGTGAGTGGTCTACCTGTGCTGTCTTCACTCTATTACTTTAGTTAACTAATTCTGTGTCTTACCTTCTTCCCTGTCTCTGCTAATTAGCAGGGTTCGATTCCCGACTAGTGAATAAAAATGAAAACGGTTGTACGTTTTCGTGATTCTCGTTCTAGAGGTTACCTGTACACATACACAACGCACGTCGTATGTTTCACATCACGAGTATATTTGACAAAAATAGGATAAATAATATAAAGTAAGATATAATAACATAATGGGTTAAGCAGAACAGTATAGCGGCCAGTAGCTGCTCCACTGTTACTATACTGCCTGCGGTCGACCTTTATACAGATATTATGTTGAAAACCTTCCTCAATTATGCGTGTGTGTGTGTTGATCCTGAACCCTCCTTCGCCATCCTAAGACCTTCACCCATCACCCCAGGACCTTCTCCCGCCACCCTAAGACCTTCTCCCGTCATCCTAGGACCTTCTCTCGTCATCCTAAGACCTTCTCCCGTCATCCTAGGACCTTCTCTCGTCATCCTAAGACCTACTCCCGTCATCCTAAGGCCTTCCCCGTTACTCTTAGACTTTTCCCGTCATCCTAGGACCTATTCCGTTCCCCCCGGACTTCTTTCGTTACCCCTGGGACTTCTCATTACCCTTGGACCTTCCCCGTTATCCTTGGGACTTCCCCGTTACCCTTGGGACTTCCCCGTTACCCTTGGGACTTCCCCGTTACCCTTGGACCTTCCCCGTTACCCTTGGGATTTCCCCGTTACCCTTGGGACTTTCCCGTTACCCTTGGGATTTCCCCATTACCCTTGGGACTTTCCCCGTTATACTTGGACCTTCCCCGTTACCCTTGGGATTTCCCCGTTACCCTTGGACCTTCCCCGTTACCCTTGGTATTTCCCCGTTACCCTTGGGACTTCCTCGTTACCCATGGGACTTCCCCGTTACCCTTGGACCTTCCCCGTTACCCTTGGACCTTCCCCGTTACCCTTGGGACTTCCCCGTTATACTTGGACCTTCCCTTTATTGCCCCAAAGCGGAATCGCCGCCCCCCGGGCGGCTCTTTCGCTAGGTTCAAGATTTCTTAAGAGCATTATAGGAGTTCCAATCTTGAGAGTGAGGTAGTGAGGAGGCATTCCAGCGGGCTCCAAAGAATTAAGGAAATCTGCATGGTACTGGACTGCTTGGTCCTGGCGATTACTGTATCAATAGATTTGAATGAGGTCTCACTGCCTGGAAGCTGTCTGAGTAGAGTCATGTTGATTTCAGCCACTGTTTCATTCTTTGGTGCTAGAATTGCGCGTTCACGCAGCCACTTGTGATCCTTGTAGTGGTGGATATTGTTTGGGTAGACCATGTTAGTGAGCTCAGTTGAGGACTTTACAACATTTCCACATCCTTTTCAACCTCTGTGTGGTTTAACGGGTCGGGTCGGGTTGGGTGTGTCGGATCGGGTTGGTTGAGGTTTTTTTGAGATCCTCACATGACACTTGCTATCCATGCCAAGTTTGGTCCGGGCGGCTCATTCGCTAGGCCACGGTAGGACGCCATCCTCCCTGAGGTTCCACATCGTCTCACTGTTCAGTCCCCAAAACTTCTTCTACCATCATAAGTTCATTAACAGTGTATTTAAGTTCCACTACAACGGTACAGCGAAGTATATTTTTTTAGCATTAAACTGTTATTATTTTATTGTCTAGTCATCACTACATA